AGTGTGTGTGGGTGTGGGTGTGGGTGCGTGCCTGCGTGGGCTGTGGTTGACGTGAGTACACGAGCCACCACTTATTCCTGCTTCTACAGCCACTCTGCTCCCTCTTGAATGATCCTTCCTGTGCACTAAATAAAACATATCCCTCTTTCATTTGTTACAGTGAGAACCCACAGCTAATGTTCATATTCACACCCGGACCGACGCAGGTCTTTAAGCTGGGACTGGGACACAGGGAGGACGAGGGGAGGTTGTAACGGAGCGAATTACTACAGTAATTAAACAGTATAACTACCTGTCCTGAGCTGAAAGCGGTCCCAGTTCCTTTCCATTACACTGAACTCCATATATTATAACTGTAATTATAATTGCAAACAAGCCTCGCTGTAATCATTATTTATGACACTGACACTATGTGTAATTGCTAACCCCCCGAACCAATATGTGAGGCCCAGTGAAGTGTTTATCAAAACCGACAGGAGAAATCTCAAGGGCAGCGAGGAGGTGCTGCATCCGCCTATCGTCTGGGCAACATTATGGCTAACCATACTCAAAGGATTTGAACCTGCGACCTCTCAGTCACCTCTCTGGCCAGATAGCTGCTAACACTCAGAGATGCAAAGTTCAGCTTTCAGCCTGGCAGGTCGCGGGGTCACCAGCTAAGGGGTTATTCATCTCTGTCTACCCTGTAATTGGAAATGCTGCAAAACCCACGTAGTGAGGGCACGCCGATGAATACGACTCAACATTTCTCTCGATTCTGATCATTCGGTATTGCCACTGATACTTGCCACCAATTAAATAAGGAGTCTGAGCTGCCTCAATTAGGGCCGAGGAATAGACTCCCCAGAGCTAGGTGCAATAGTTTCAAACATTTATTTTTAGTGTGTGCAATAAGACTACTTAATTTGCAGCCTTAGTTGTTACCAAAAATACAGCCCCTGTCTTACTGCCTTATTGTCTAGTTGTTTTTCAACTTGCTAAATTTGTTTTGTTCATATTTACAAATTAATTCTTACTTACTGTTTCTTACTGTTTTTATGGTTTATTGTGTGTTCCTCCTTCAAAATCATATTTTACTGATGAATGAGTCTGCTTTTGTGTGTGTTTTTGCCATTCTGCAAGCTACGTTTCCCATGCGAGACAATAAAGACTGAACTAAACTGGTTGTAAATTATAGTTCTTGATGTGGATCCTTAACACCTTGGAATCCAATAGAAATACTGTCAGTAGTCGCATGGCATGACATGATTCTTTGCACTGTATTCAGAAGTCATGGTACAATAGCTGTTTCCCTTCTAAAGTGATTCTACTAAATCATTGGTGGGTGGAATTTGACAATGCAATAACTTCTAGTACATTTCAAAATGTTTCTTTTCTTTAAGAGAATATCTCAAGATTGTTGTTACTCTGATGTCTTTACCATAACAGCACTTCCTAACGTTGCTACACCCGACAACATTAACCAATCAAAATGAAAAGTGGTCTCACAACTCTTCTCCAGTACATCATGCCTTATTCTCCAAACATTTTGCCTTTATCAGGGTGGCAACGTGTTTTAATTTCCATATAACAATTCTCAACCAGAAATTCAAATGAAGTTTCCTTTAAACACCACACTCACCTCTTTGGTTTTCCATCACTGCACCTGTTTCTGCAAGTTCTTGGTCAAAATGCAGCTGTTTTTTTTCTTAAGGTACTATCTATTCCTCCACTAGTGTGAGGAATAGATTTAGTGGAAGATGTTGGATCCACAGCACCACAGGCCACCACGGAGCAGCAAGAGAAATAGAAAAAGTAAAACCCAAGGGAAAAACATTCAGACCACAGAGCCACTCCAGGCTGGTTAAACCTCAGACCCTTGTCCCTGAGGCTCTTGAGACCAAATCCAGGCCCTCTCACTGCAACACTCGCAGATAAATAAAACCTGCCAAAATGGCAGAGCATTTCTAAGCCAAACATGGAGAACAACAGCACACAGAAACCATGGATTTCAAAGGGAGGGAGAAAAAGCAGAGGCCCCTCCAGAATAGGAGCGCAAGGCATCTGTTGATGCTGGCATCTCCCGTCTCTTCATCTACAAGCCAAGACTGGTGATCCAGTCGAGTGTGCGTGTTTGTGTATGTGTGCGAGGGGGCAGGGAAGAAGGGTGGCTACGTGCTAACATGTGCGATGCGCATTGACCCCACTTGGCCCCCATATGTTGCTGAAACAAGAAGGATGGTGAGCTACAAAGCAACCCCGACTGTTTTCACCTGTGTTCCTGCCCTGTACACTTCCTCTTACCAGAACCTCCATCACAGCAGTGCATGTTGGTGGGAAGACCCATCTGTTAGACAGTTGGACATATATGTACAGTATACAATACAGCGTGAAGTGGGATTTACTGCAATAATTGCCTTAATGGATATCTGTAAGGCAGAAATCCTTTCTTTAACATCTAAATATATCATTGAAATAATATCCTTTGATAAATAACCTCAAACGTCCTCTGCTGTGACCTAATGTAGCACCATAAGCAGAAGCAATTTCTCTTGTCATCTTCACTTTTCACTGAATCAATGATGGCATTATTCTCATTATCAGATCTTGCAGGTTTCTGTCATAACAGAAACAGAAATACTTTGAGCGGAGGGTAAATTGTTTAATTTCGTGTGGAGGTGTGTGTGTGAACACATTCACAGCCTTAATGTTCCATCATCGGGAAAAAAGCAAAGTATCACAGTGTCTAGTCTCATGGATGAAACAAGTTTTGAGAAATTGCAGACGGCTTATTTGCCAGAAAGATGTAGATATTTTACTGTATGTATGAACGGGAGCTTGGCCATCCACCTTTTTTAAGAGTTATAGTTCTGAGACATTTTAAGTGCAATAAAAGAGAGAATAACAGAGGAAGGGAAAGGCATGATGGTATGCCAGGAGCTGGCCATCACACCCATGGAGTGGTTTGTGCATTCACACGCCAAGCCAGTAGGAAACCTTTGAATAGTCTAATTGTGTTTTGCAGCATAGAAAAAGACCCTTTTCAACCTGGTTGGCATGCCATTGTAGAGGTCTGAAACAGATTTTACTATCTGTTTCTGAGGGTATGGAAGATAAAATAGCACTCCCTCTTAATAAATATTTGCTGTGCCTGTGCTTAATGTGAAGTGGCTAAATGAGTGATAATCTCTGTCAAGCGGAAGAAATATCTTCAGATGAATAAAATACTGTACAGTCATTCAGAGGAATTTGTCTTATACATCATTAACCTGGCACTAATAACTCACACACAATCTGCTAAACGATGGTGGTGAAGCATTTAGGCAACCACAAACCACACTGGTCCGACTCTAAGGGGCACAGATTAAGAGGATTATTCCACTGCTGCATGATTTATCAAGCAGCGGACAGTGCCCTTTTAACAGTCATGTTCTTCTTTTATAATGCATGCTTTCTACCTTAAAATACGGACGTGATGTGGACCTACAGCAACTCAGAGCAGCAGATGGGATCCCTCTCCAAGATGAGTCTGATTCACATGTGCTGCAATGTGCACAACTCACATCAATACCCAATCATTCCTCAACTGTGGCTTACATGATTGGTCACACCTTCACATCCCAAAACCCACAGGTTACAAATTCAGAGGGCCGAAAGCTGAAATGAGACTCAGTATGGTTGTAGGGTCGGTTTGTGTGGTGCTCAGCTCATTGTGTTTGTGTGCTGTGTGCGTCCTGCAGGGCTGTCCGTCTGGTCTCTGCCTGGTGTGGAAAAGGGGCTTGCTGTGGCAAGCCAACCATGACCAGCTGGGCTCTCCTACCCACAAGGAGCTCAGGAGCAGGAGGCTATAGCCCGTCTGCATCTGCAGGTTGTTAACCTCACATCTTATTGCACTGACACATCAATTATTGTTATTAAGGGCCAGAGTAATTTATTTATATACTGATTTCCCACAGGATGAAGGCAGGACTAATTGAGCCAGGTGTGTGTATTTTTGTGTGTGTGTGTGTGTGTGTGTGTGTGTGTGTGTGTGTCTGTGTCTGTGTTCATGCTAGATGGGCAGGGGGGAATTAGAGTACATGGTGAGAATGCCGTGTACAACTAATATATGATGGGACATCCCATAGCATGGTTAGGATATTAGAGGATGGCATGATAAAAAATGCAAGAGGAGTTTTAAATATCCCCTGGTCAGCATTCCCTGTGGACAACAACAACATAACAACACTGTCTGTTTGTGTTATTCATTATGAAGCAGTGTAAATAGCCACCTGAATCTTCTGGTTGTGCAAGTTATCTCTGGCACTGTGGGGAAGGTGTTTTATGCCAGTGCAAGGAGAGGAAATGTAGGCTTGATTACCCGGTGCATGTTTGACCCCCTCAGCCCCCGTCCATCCCTCACCATTTATTACTCGCTGTCTCTCTCGACCTTGGGTTTGAAGACCGAGAACAAAACACTGTCTTTCTCTCCCGAGTCTCTCTGCATTGCTTTTACCCGTACTTATGTTAACCCCCCCTCTACCAGCCCCCCCCCGCACTGGTGGTGCGTCATGTGCGTGGGATACCAGGCCATTCATGTCACGTAAAGGAATGTTCACAGACGACTGGGGATGGGAGTCTTATATTTATTTTTTTTCTTCCTCCATAGTAAACATCTTAACATGCATCACCCGTTGCTCACACTGAACCACGAGGTTGGCTTGGAGATGAACCTGGCGCTGCGCTTACACGCACGCGCTCACGCACGACGACGGCGCGCACGCGTGCACACACACACACACACACACATACACCCCCAATCTCTCTCTACGTTTGTGTATATCTCTGTGTGAGGAAATGGAAAAGTGGAGCGCAGTGGCACAGCAGACACGCGTGATTCACAGGCAGGTAGACCCCCCCCCCCCCTTCTTCATTAGTATTCACCTCCACGAGCGTTGTCAGAAAATGAAAGATATACATGCGTAGAGGCGCAGCGGCACAGAACCGCCAGCACATCGCTAAAGTAGCTCGTAAGAACTTACCTTTCGACAGCAGAACCAGGATCAAACCAGCAAACGCGTTCCGCAAGAGGGGGCAGCCCATGATGGAGTTCTGATTGATTTTCTGCTTGTTTTGCAGCCAAATGCCTTGGTATTCCTCCTTTACGGTGCCGTTGCGGGGACTCTGTGTATAAAAAAACCGACCCGGTGAATGAATGTCAACAGCAATAGTCCAACGCTTTTACATGTGACTGGACGAAAACATCAGTCTTGTCCACTTGACTTTTCCTTTTGATGTCGGAGAGAGAAACGGAGAGGTCTGTTTGTCTTCTCCTGTGTAGAAGAATCTCTCAACCAGAAAAATATCAGGAGCAGGAAAAAAACAAATATCCCAGACACTTAGTTTGTCTCTCAGAGCCTTGAAGGAAAGATAAAATATTTTAGAAAATACATGGGAAGAGATGGTAAAATTTCAACTGTCCACTGACTTGACATAAATATGTTTTTTTTTTGTTGTTGTCAGAGAACAGGATGGAGTCTGTGCGTCCCGACCAGTCGCAAGTCGCCACTTCAGCCTTAATTAGCCTGCTCCCGTATGTCTCTGTTGGTATGCAGCGCGTCTCGTCGCTCCGCACTCAGCGCGTCGCAGGGAGCAGCACTGAATGCGAGGCGCACAAGAAAGAGCATGATTGACAGTTCAAGGAGAGCCCCTTCCCCAATCACCGGCCCCAAGGAAGGAGGCGGGATTTACGATTGCACCGATGTCCCGCGCGGAGAGGCCGGCCGAGGAGCCTCACCGGCCAATCGCAGGCGCGCACTGGGCGGGCAGAGCGCGAGAACGAAGCGCGGCGCGGTGATAATGCAATGTGATTTATAGCCAGTTCGGTGTTGCTGCAGTACTCAGAGAAAACAGTCCACAGGGGGACAGGCGGGCATAATAACTACAGGGACAGAGGTGGGGGGTAGGGGGTGGGGGGTGAGTGAGGGACAGGTGGAGCCATATGGGCTCCGGTGCGCGGTTTTTTTTTTTTGAAACGATGGATGTAAACAGAACGTTGTGTTGCTGATGAGCAGATGTTACTCAATTGCTGAAAATGAATATTGTCAAACCAGAGGAGGAGAAGCCTGTAAAGACAATGAGAAAATTGCCCACATGCCACCATATAAGTTGTGGGTACACTGGGTGGACTGGGTAGAGTATCAGAGCAGATTGTAACAGCACTGCAGTAAAAATCTGACTCAGTCACACATGCTGACTTAATGGCAGGCGGCATAAACCCCATGTAGGAAGACTATATTTATGCGAAAGTACTAATGAGCCATTTATGAACATGTTAGTCTCTGAGCTGCGTTTGGTGCTAAAAGTGGGAGCAGTTGCCTGTATAGTGAAGCCCTCATTTTCTTTGGAAGGGCATTCACATGTTGAGCTAATCATCTCGCATGAAAGCTAGATGCCAGAGAGACACCAGCTTCCACACAGGAAGCTGTGAAACTCCCAGAAAACTTGATTGCCAAATTTATGCATACTTCCCGAACATTTGGCAGTCAATTACAGTCATATTGCATCATATGCGGACCTCCTCTCGGTCAGAAACACAACATACAGCTCACGCTGAGCCCATTGGGTCCATTTTTTTGCAACATTTAATCTATGACTCAGATGATTATTTTCATATAATCTGATGTATTGTTCCACTTTTGACTAATACACTTGTTTCCTTATTCCCCGAATAACCAATTAATGCTTTATTACTGCTGAGTGCATAAGTAATAAAGCACTGCTTGCTGATTTATGGTATTCAGACAAAATTACAATAAATACAGTTGGGAATTATAACTGACTGCATATCTGTCGCAGATGAAAGATGGAGAAGGATGAACGGGCAAGCTCGAACAAAACCCCAGGACTGATTAATGAGTCAGCTAATCAAAGACCAACATTAGTTACTTACAGTGTGTGATTTGTTTGTAAATACTTATTATTCACTATTAATTAAATTTGACACAGTGGAGTGAATCAGGAGCCAGTGATGTTTATAATGTTAACCACGGGCTCATTAGGCTGTTATTTTTTAATGTTGATTTCTGATTTTTAGCTCTATCTGATGAAAAATTAATGATATATGATTTATGGATGTTATGACATAGATAGATAGACAGATAGATTTGTTTGATATTAGCTGCGGCAAAGTTGCATATATATACACGAAACAGTGAGAACAACAATATAAAGATAATACAAATTGAATAAAGACAATAGCTTTAGTCTTTGGCCTGAGGGTAACCCCAATTAAAGATGGCTTATACACCCTTAACTATATGCTATTGTTTGTTCAAAACAATTAGCACAGTAGCACAGTATGGTAGCTGTTCCTCTAATCAGCATGTCCTTCTCCTCCTCTTCGTTTGGACATAGTATTTGCACTGAAATGCTGCAGGACCACTATTGTACAGCTTTCACATTAGTATAGAAACGTTTTCCTCTGCTTGATACTAAAAAATCTGATCCAAACAAGTCATACTGTATGTGCAATGCAGTTGCGAAGCTTTATTAATGGTATTCATGATTGCAATCAGTAATTCAGCTGGATTTCTGCGTACACGTGGATATTATTTATAGACCTGTCACAAGTTGCAGTTTGTTTGTACTCTGTTGTTCAAAGTTATTTAATAAAAGTAGAAACACCTGCGAAAATGTTGACATAAATTTGCATTTTGACTCAGATTTTACAAAGCCAATTACCCTCAGACCTCGTCAGCTCCCATCATACTGTATGACATCCTGAGCACAGTGGAAGAGAGCTGAGACAGAGAAATATTTCTTCATTTTGAAAAGACTGACATGCATCAGCATAAGGAAATGGTGTTGCATTTTGCATTATGAGACAAAAAAAACCTCACGTACTCAAGCAACACTTACTGTTGACACATGCTCATGTGTACATACACATACATACATACATACGTTGTTACTTTGAGTGTCTGTTATATTATTAACTTTATTATTTACTATAGCAGCATATCTGTAGATGCTTTATTTTCTAGAGGAATGGATAAGAGCCAGTTGGTTTTTTTTATATCTTCTGACTGCTCAGTTTAAAGCCATCTTGGCTGTTAAGTCTGGTGTGATGTTTTCAAATTCTAATCAATATAGCGTTCTAATTTATTTATTTTATCTAAAAGCATTGTTGTCTTAATGTCTGATTTTGCCCCTCAGGGCAACACTGCCAAGAAGAACGTGACCGATCATGTTAGTCCTGCATCAATGTGCAGCATTGATATTAATGTCGAACTGGACTTGAGGGCTCCTGAAGACTTGGATGGCCCGCAGAGACTCACTAAGATAACTTAGTGGATCCTCATTTCAGACAAGGGCAAGTAGAGAAAGAGCAAAAAAATGCTTAAATGAAGAGAAATTCAAAGATAGTAAGTAAAGGTGAATACACAATAGAAGAAAAGTACATGTTTAAGGTTAGAAATGAGTCTGTATATGCGTGCTCAGTAACTTCAAATGTTGGCTGAAAGCAAAGTAATACAAAAGACAAGTGAAGGCAAGTGGCTTTGTATGGGGGGTGGGGGTTAAAGAGGATGTAATGCAATGGACTATAAGATGAGTCAGAGAAAACTTTGAGCTTTTTTAGAGCTTCTCCCAGGCCCTCTTACTCACAGAAGAGCAGGAGACTTTTTTCTGGAGTGGTAAGACCTCATCTTATTTGAAGGTAACACTAATTAGAGTAGTCATGTTGGAGCTCTGACCTTTTGTAGATTTTATGTTTTTACTTTCAGTCTTTAATTTCTTTCTAAGTAAAGGTTCTTATAGCTGTAGCAACCAGTTATTGTAACTAATGTTTCACTTAATAATCCCAATCATTTCTACAAAAATGTTGCACTCTCATTATCTCTGTTTTTCATAACTTCAGTGAGTGACCATTTTCTTGTAGTCGTTCTTGTACTGAGCTAACAGGCTTCACGGCGCTGTCATGGTGAAGCTGTAGCAAAATAGAATAGTTACTTTATTCATCTGGCTTCCCTGAGTATGAGGTGAAATCTTAAGAGTCACAGTGATCAGGGTGGTTTGATGTGGTCTTGATGTATGATGGGGTCATGATGCATACTAGAGTGTGATTGACTGGCCACAATGCCACTGAATGCATCATTACTCATCAGTGGGGAGGTACAGAGAGGTTAGTTTGATGGATTGTAACTTAACCGCACTTTGCAGCAAGCTATTTAAATCTCTGCAAGATGCATGGTAGCATATGTTTGTCTGTATAGGCATACACTCAAATGTCCAGTTAGGGGGGGATATTCCTAAGCCTGTGCAGCTATCACCCAGGGTCATTCACAGAGTGCCTGGGCTGAAATGACAGTAATTTCACACCCAATTAATAGAGTATAAAGCAGACCCATACTATAATGTCAGATGTTGGCACCTTGACTGTAAGGACAAACACAGAAGGACACCTCACCGAGCTTGTTTGAAGAGTGGGGCAGTTTATGCAAACATGTCTGGCTTGGAGTACGTCTGGCTGGGGGGAACCTGTCCCTGAAGTGTCTGCTGTAGAGCTACCAGTTGGGCTGAGACGCCCCACCAGCCTGTTTAGTATGGTAATGTATGGAGATGCGGGCACGGGCACTTTTTCTCTCTTTCCCCTTGCTCCGTCTTTAAGCCCCCATATTAATTGGCATGGCAGAGGCGGCAGTTACTTGGTTGTAATCACTGTCCCTTGGAGAACCCCACTGAGAAGGATTGAAGGAGAGAGGGACGGAGGGAGAGCGAGTGAGAGACTTTAGTCTCGAAAGGCTTGTCCTCTGAGTTATGTTATCCCAAGAGGTGCAAGGAAGCAGAAAGACAGGGAGGGAAAAGCGAGAGAGGAAGATATGGAACATGGAGGGAAAAGAAAGGGAGAAGCTGGAGAGGAAATTGTGATGTGAGCTCCCTTGCTTCTGGAGAAATGGAGGACTACAGATGGAAGGAGAGGAGAATTGGATGGGAGATTCATGTATGGGGATTATGGATGGAGATTGGTAGTTGGATCGGTGGAAAAAAGGGTGGGGGGATGGGGGTTAGGATGTTTGATCGACATGAAGAAGATGAAAAGGAAAAAGATGGGATTGGTAGGTCTTAAGAAGATGACAAAGGTCAATTGACATTAAAGCTCCACTTGTTGTAATATAAATGGTTTTCATCCTCTGTAAACTTCCCAAACTGAGAGAAAAAGTCAGGGAGGAACAGGCCTCACATTTCCAATTCATGAAAATTGATTTATTAACCATAACCTATTAATTTGGTTCATTTCCACCGCTGATACAACCCTTGCTGTTAGCGCCTCGCAAGTTGATGTTGTTACATCCACTTTAAGCACACAATTGTTTTCACCGCTGATTGCTGCTGCTGCAACACGCCACGCTTGTAAAGTACCTTGAAATTGAGGAACTGCATCTGAATCTGAAGAGGAGATGGCAAAGAGAGGCTGCCAAGACATGGAGGAAATGGAGAGAAGTCAAAGAAAAGGGAGAGAAAGTCAAATATAGAAAAAACTGAAGGTTTCTCCCTTTGAGGGTCAAAATGTAAATGTTATACTCCGTCTTGGTCAAGGCTGCTAATTGCTTCAACCAAAGGATGAGTGTGTGGGTAAGTGTATGTGGGTCTACGCAGGCAT